TAAGGTTCTTGGTTCTTTGAGACAAAGAGGCCTCCATGTTTTATTCGCACTCCCTGAGGTTCATGTCGACGCTGCTCTAAGTTCTGGAATGACTGTACGCGATAAGCATGTTTCATTTGCAGAACCTGAGGTTGATGTGGGCACTAGTTCTGAAATGACTGAGCAGATGGATCGTAGAATCCCAGTTTGGATTTGTCCAAACCTATTCGACCTTGACTGTCCACCACAGCCAGAGCATGGAGATGAAAAGGAGGGCTATGTTATATTGCATCCAGCTCCAGATCCCCATACCATTAATTTCAAAATGCCCACCAATGTTGATACATCCGTCTTCTGGGACGTCGAGGATTACCCACTCCCTCCGGGTCTCCAACTCTCTAAGTTTTATGAGAATATCATGGCAGCTGTTCGTTCTTGTGTTTCTTCTTCTTCTGGCGGCGCGTCGATCTATGCATATGTTGGGAAAGAGAAAGAGAAGGAATTTGTTGTCCATGGCTCCGGAATCACAATCACTGTGGTACCCAATGCTNCAGCAGACAAATTTGCAAGACTTGCTAAGATTACAATGGACTTTCTTTTGTGGTCAATGGACAATCGTACCAAGCGTCGCTCTCCTCCTCTGCCCCGCCCAAATCTGCTGGTAATCACAAAACGTTTGGAAGATGGCGACAAATTGTGCCTCCGGTCTACCCTTCGTGGTTTGAAATTGAGAGGTCACAATGTTTTCCTTGCACTGCCTGCTGAAAAAATCCCACCAGCGGAGTCGTATGATGAGGATGATCTTCCGTTGTTGTCTTGGGAACGCCTAACAGAAATTGGAAAGCTCAAGAGAGGAAGAGAAGAATCTGACCTCTACTTTCGCCATTAGCTCGATAAGTTCTTGTCCTTTGAGAGAGTAACCAAATCTCACACAAGAACCAAGTAGAAGATTAAACAAGACCGTATCAGGCTTCACAACATTCCTGGGGCTATTTCTGTTGGACTCAAAACGATCACAGACCTGAAACAGATAATTCGAAGTTAGACAAGTCCCGACCTCAGTTTTCACCATATGCATCACATCTAAAGTTAAGACAGATCCCTGAGCTCTATCTAAAGACAACGACAACTTAGTTAAAGCATCAACAGTTACAAAACCCGAATTCTGCTTCAAAGCCAAACGAGTCAGCTCACTAGCCTTGCTAAGCCAAAATAAACTTTACACGTTATGGAAAATATAAGCTTACAC